GGGCCTTAGTCATGGTGGGTCTTGGTCTTCACACTTGCCTACCCGCAAGGAATGTTCTAAACAGGAGGTCTTCGACCAACCTGCCCACCCCAAGGGATGATCTAAATAAGTGACCACCCAGCCCGAGGGCCTTAGTCATGGTGGGTTTTGGTCTTCACACTTTCCCACCCGCGAGGAATGTTCTAAACAGGAGGTCTTCGACCAACCTGCCCACCCCAAGGGATGTTCGAAACAAGTGGCCACCAAGTCAAACCACACCACATTCATCCTGTCATCCAAATTATACCAACAATCCCAGCATAAGAAAATGTGCAATAAAGCAAGTAAAATCAGAAAAATCACTGAACTTCATTGACTTTTAAGCGAACTTTTGCCATTTACATCTTTGTTCGAATTTCCCAGCTTTCTATAAAAAAATGAAAATTTTTCACGCATAATATGTTTTCAAATTAGCTATGTTCCATGACCTGGCAAGTGATCGACCATCAGCATCCTTCAGCGAGTACGCTCCTCCTGCATGCACTCGCTCGACGAGGTATGGCCCTTCCCAATTGGGCTCTAGCTTTCCTACATGTTTGAGCACATCGACGCGTTTCCAGACCAGGTCGCCTACTTGGAGTCTGCGAACTTTCACCTTTTTGTCATGAGCGGCTCGCATCCTCTGTTTGTACGCCTCCACCCTGATTGCTGCTCTTCCATGCAGTTCCTCGATTGTGTCCAGGTCTGCCATCATTAGACCTTCGTTCTGCTCGGTATTATATGTGCTCGACCTCTACCGGCAGCAACGCTTCCATTCCATAAGTTAAACTGAAAGGGGTTTCTCCTGTTGTCGACCTCGGGGTCGTGCCATATTCCCAAAGCACTAAGCTCAACTCATCGACCCATGCTCCCGAGGCCTTTTCCAGCTTTGTTTTCAGCCCATTCAGTATAATTCGGTTGGTTACCTCGACCTGGCCGTTTGCTTGCGGATGAGCAACAGAGGCGAAGTGTTGCTCAATTTTCATGTCTTCACACCATGCTCGAATCCGCTTTCCATTGAACTAAGTACCATTGTCGGAAATCAATACTTTGGGCACACCAAACTAGCAGCAAATGTTGTATAGAAACTTAATTACTTTCTCCTCCGTAATCTTTGCCAAGGGCTCGGCCTCCACCCACTTTGTGAAATAATCCACCGCCACTATCAAAAACTTCCTCTGCCTCATTCCCTGAGGCATCAGCCCCACCAGGTCGATACCCCATTGGGCGAATGGTATAGGGGCACTGATCGTCGTCATTGCTTCTGCCGGTTGGTGAATAAGGGGACCATGCTTTTGGCATTGTAAGCATTTCTTCACCATCACCTTTGCATCCTCCTTCATCGTCGGCCAGAAATATCCTGCCCTCAAAATCTTTGTGACTAAGGCCCCTGACTTACTATGATCACTGAAGCTTCCCTCGTGCATCTCTCTCAGCACATATCGACCTTCCTCCTTAGTAACACAACGCAAATGCGGCCCCGCATATGACCGCATGTAAAGAATGCCTCCATGTTCAAAAAATCTCCTCACCACCTTTATCGCTCCTCCTTTCAGCTCCTCTAGGATCGGGGCCCTCCAATCCTCCACTTCCTCAATCTCCGTCACTTCCACTTCGACCAAGCTCTTTTCAAGATGCAACAAGGTGACACTTCTGCTCTTACAATCCACCAAGCTTTGAGCAATTTTTTATAACAGGTCCGCTCGACCGTTTTCTCCTCGAGGGATTTGTATCAGCTCGAATGAATCAAATTCCTCTTTTAACTTCCTCATCTTGTCCACATACTTTTGCATCCGGTCCTCCTTAACTTCAAACCCTTCCTGAAACTGCCTGAGCACTAATTGAGAGTCAGAATGCACCTGTAATTTTCGGGCTCCTCCCGCTTTGGCTAAACTCAAGCCTTTGATCACCGCCTCATACTCAGCCTCGTTGTTGGATATCTTGAACCCAACTTTGGCCGCAAATTCCAACTAGTCGCCTTTAGGAGAGACAAAGGACAATTCCCAATCCTTCCCCGCTTCGTGCTACGGATACGTCCACAAATAACTGCCATATTCCTCCTGACTCCTCCTCGACCTTCGTGCCTTCCTGGATAAAATCGGCCAACACCTGCGCCTTTATGGCCCTCCTTGGTTCATACAATATAGAATACTCACTCAACTCGACCACCCATTTCACCAATCGACCAGAGACCGATGGTCGACCAAGTGTTTCTCCCAGCGGCATGTTTGTTCGCACCTTCACCTTATGATTCAAGAAATAAGGTCTCAACTTTCGAGCAGTTACGACCACTGCCAAAGCACACTTCTCGATCTCCAAATACCTCATCTCTGCCCCCTGCATCACCCTTCTCACGTAATAGATAGGAGATTGTGCTACCCCTCCTTCTCGTAATAACACCGAACTTACAGCCCTCTCTCCGATAGAAATGTATAGCACCAACTCCTCGCCCTGTACAAGTTTAGCCAACAAGGGAAGGTTGGCTAACACCCCTCGCAACTCCTCAAATGCCTTCTGCGCCTCCTCCGTCCATTGAAATTTCACACTCTTCTTCAACGTTTTGAATAATGGGCCACTTTTCTCCGCCACTTTCGATATGAAACGACTCAGCCCCGCAATGCGACCAGCTAAGATTTGCACTTCTTTAACATTCGCTGGTGGCTTCATCTCCATCACGGTTCGAACCTTCTCGGGGTTCACTTCAATACCCCTCTTGCTCACCAAGTAACCCAAGAATTTGCCTGACTTCACCCCGAGCGAGCATTTAGCCGGATTCAGCTTCATCCCGTACCTCCTCAGAGTCATGAATGTTTCCTTTAAATCCTTCACATGGTCCATCTCCTTCTTGCTTTTCACCAACATATCGTCCATATATACCTCCGTGTTCCTCCCAAGTTGCTCCTTAAAGATTTTATCGACCAGCCTTTGATACGTGGCCCCAGCATTTTTCAGGCCGAATGGCATCACTACGTAACAATAGGTTCCCCGACTCGTTACAAAACTTACCTGCTACCTGTCTTCTCTTGCCAAGGGAATTTGATGATATCCCTGGGAGGCATCCATCAAGCTCAGCAATTCGCACCCCGTCGTCGAGTCGACCAGCTAGTCGATTCTGGGCAGTGGGTATAAGTCCTTTGGGCATGCTTTGTTCAGATCACGGAAATCAATGCACATCCTCCATTTTCCCTCCGCCTTCGACAACATTACTGTATTCGACAACCACTCGGGGAACTGGATCTCCTTGATATGTCCCGCTCCAAACAGTTTCTCGACCTCCTTCTCAATGATCCTGTCCATTTCCGCCCCATGGTGCCTTCTTTTCTGTTTTACCGGCCTCACACTGAGGTCGATGTTCAATCGATGCCCGATCACCTCCGCACTTATCCCCGTCAGCTCCTCCGCTGTATAACCAAAAATGTCAGCGAACTCCCTTACTAGACCGATCAGCCTCGACCGAATATGCTCCACCAAGTCCTTCCCAATTCGGAATTTCCTTTCCTCACACCCCTCGATCATCTGGATCTCCTCGACTTCTTCTCCCGGTTGGATATCCATTTTCTCCTTGCCTTTCTCCATTCTCTGTTTATCCTCTTTTGACCTCGACCCACCTGGTCGATTAACCTCCTCATCCTTCGACTTGGCCTGCCTCTTCGCCAGTTGTTTGTTATTGCTCACCGTTGTTTGATAACAACTCCTTGAAGTGAGTTGATCCCCAGCGATCTTCCCTACGTTTTCGCCCACAGGATACTTAATCGTCATGTGGTACGTGGATACGACCACCTAGAATGCATTCAAACTCGTCCACCCCATAATGATGTTGTAAGATGATTCAGCCCCCACGACCACAAACCTCACCATGCGCACCTTCCTCAGCTCTCCTGCTCCCAATGCGACTGGCAAGCTTATCTCGCCCATCGGCATCACCTCTCCTCCGTTAAAACCATAAAGTGTCGTGGTCACCGGCTTCAGCTCCATATTCAACTCCTTGTTAATTTGCACAAAACAGTCGTAGAACATCACGTCTACCTAACTCCCAATATCAATAAACACCCTCTTCACGTCAAAGCCTGCAACCTCCGCGGTTATCACTAAAGCATCGTTGTGTAGTAAGACCACTCCTTCAGCATCCTCCGCCTTAAAACCTATCACCGACATGCGAGCCGTAATTCCCACCTCCTCACTCTTCCTCTTCGCAGCTCGAGCATGCTCTTTTCTGGCCCTATTCAAGTCACCATCTGTTGGCCCTCCGAAAATCATGTAAATCGTCCCTCTCTTCATCGGGGCTTCTCCTCTGTGCCCTCCCTTATCACCATCTCTCCTCGGCTTCTTTCCTCGACCATCTCATTCCTTATCTCTATCACTCCTTTCTTCGGAATCCTCCCTGCACCTTCTCCTTCCTTTCCCTTTCACCCTATCATGATAGACAAATTCTTTCAAATATCCTGCTCGGATCAACCTCTCGATCTCATCCTTCAAATGTCTACAGTTCTCCGTGGTATGACCGTAATCTTGGTGAAAATGGCAGTAAATGTCTGACCTAGGTCGAATCAGGCCTGTAAACCTTGTCTTTTGCCAAGTCACATCCTCGCTCGGCATCTTCTGCTCCATGGCCTCGAGGACCTCTGTCATATCTTTCCTCAATGGCGTAAAAGTATGGTATCTCTGCCTCTCAAACAACATCGGCCTCCTCTGCCACTCATCTTTATTCTCCTTTTTCGAGTCTCGACTCCCTCCTCGGGGCGAGGCCCTCTTCTGCCCACTTCTTTTGGGTGAATTTCTCCTCGGCGATCTCCCCCTTTGCGGGCTTTTCTCCCTTTTTGGCTCTGGTCGAGCCACCCCTTCCAGCTTTGCAAACTCCATCTCCATCTCCTCCAAATTAATGTACTTCCTACACCTCTTCAGCACATCCTCATATGATGGAGCAGGGGTCTTCGCCAGGGAAGTTCGACAAGGCCTTGCTCGAAGGCTCCTTATCAATCCTCCCGCCTTTATCTCGTCCGAAGCCGAGTGCACCTCTAAACACGTCTGATTATATCGAGCAACATACTTCCTCAATGACTCCTTCTCCCCCTGCCTCATTGCCATCAGAGTCAAATACGTCTTCTCCTGTGCCACCGCGCTTGAATATTGATTGGTAAGCTTGCTGGTAAAGTACTCAAAATCCGCAATCGACCCAGGGGGTAATTGATTAAACCAATCAAGTGCTCCTCCGCGCAAGGTCAATAAAAATGCCCTGCAATAAACAGAATCAGAATATCCACGCAACACATCCATATTTTCGAAGGTCCTCACATGCCTCGACGGGTCAGATGACCCATCATACACCAAGTTGGTCTCCTTGAAATTATTCGGCAAAGGAGCAACAAGAATCTCCCTCGAAAAGGGATGTCCTCGAGCTCTCCTCTCTGGCCTCCCCGCCACCTTGTCCTGCAACTTGCGCAACTGCTCCGCCATCCTCTCCATCGCCCGATCTCTTCTAACTCATCCCGCTCCATAACTGGACACATCCTCATCTTGGCTTCCGGCCACCGTGGTCGGCGCAGTGGTGGCATGCGATGTATGGCTCGTAACCTGCTGCACTGCCTACGCCGCCGCGGCCGCCACTATCCTCTGCATCTCCTCCCGGGTCATTGCCACCATTTGCTGACCGTGGGCTTGTACAGCTGCCTTCAGTGGCGCTCCTCCTTGCGCCATCGTCCCTCCTTGCATCGGTGCTGGATTCGGTGGTGGCAGCGGTGGCATCGCCGCCGCGGCTGCTGCGCGAGCCTCCTGGTCCTGACTAGAGCCACCATCTCCTTCGGGAATCACCGTCGTCACTCCCACACCTTGAAGGATATGTGTCGGAGTGATCAGAGTCTGCGATAGGCTGGAAAAACCCAGAGGAGGGCCGTGCCCTAACGGCCTGGTCGTCGTCCAAGCTTCGTCGAACATTGACTGCAAGTTTTTGGGAATTCCGTCCGCCATAGCTGAGCTTCAAACACAACTTTTTGAACAAAATTCCCCACAGACGGCGCCAATAATGCAAGTGTGCGCGTCCTGGTCCGGTTTGAATGGATCGATCTTTGTCCTCGCCGGTAGAACGCCAGAAACCTGCAAATAACTCTCACACCGGGGTTTGTGTCTGGTGAAGAGCCTCCGATGCTTAAGTCAGTATGTGTATGAGTATAATGAAGTGAGTAAAAATGAATAGAATGTCTTAAGGGAGAAAGGCTCACCCCCTTTATATAAGGGTGAGATACCTGCCCTAATAGCTGCCCGGATAAGGTGAGCTGGCTGCCCAAGCTGCCCGTCCGTACTCTGACACGCCGCGCACATGTCAGAGGTGGCGCGGGGCATTGGGAGTTGTCAGAGGTGGTTATCGCCATCCACCAATGCTTTCTCGACACGTGTCCCCCGCACATGGGGTAAATATTCTCCTGAGATTTGGTTAGAGGTTCCCACACACGCCTGTGACTAGGCCGACTGTCGGACCCTCGAAGAGATCGACCAGATGAGGTCGAATATGTTGCTCGATCCTTTATCTGGTCGAGCGACGGATTGGTCGACCACCTGCCTGGTCGATTATCTGGATGTTCGATCTTCTCGCCTTTTGGCTTGGCTTCTTCTCGGTTTGACCTTCTCGACCGGCCAAGCAGACCGGTTTAGTCTTGTGTATATAATATCCCATATCAAATTACAACTTCGTAGTTGTTTAAATTGACTTCGTAGTCGTAGGCTTCGTAGCCTTGTGGAGATTCCACTCGAATTACAACTTCGTAATTATTTAAATCGACTTCGTAGTCGTAGGCTTCGTCGCTTTGTCGAGATTCCACTCGAATTACAACTTTGCAGTTGTTTAAATCGACTTCGTAGTCGTAGGCTTCGTAGCCTTGTCGAGATTCCACTCGAATTACAACTTCGTAGTTGGTAGTCGGCTATATAGCCGTTTTGAAGAATTCAATTTTTCAGCAATCATAAGGAGATCGATATGGAAATGTAAAAGACAATTGGAGCGTAAACTTGAAATTTATTGCATTACTGAATTTGGTTCAAACATTGCTCAGTACAAATAAGTTCAAAACATTGCCTTACGCATAAAAGCGTTTGAGATGGATCACATGCCATGATCGCGGAAGTTGTCGACCTTCTCCGTCCTCGAGCTCGTATGCGTCCCTTTCTAGAACCTTCCTCACGGTATAGGGTCTTTCCCAATTGGCCTCAAGCTTTCCGACATGCTTCAGTGCTTCTGCTCGCTTAAGAACGAGATCTCCCACTTGGAATCGCCTGGTTCGAACTTTCTTATCGAAAGTTGCACGCATCTTCTGCTTATATTCAACGGATCGTAACAAAGCCTCTTCTTGCCCTTCCTCGATCAAGTCGAGGGCTTCTTTGGCCATTTCCTCGTTCTTTTCTTCCTCGAAGTATGTCGACCTGTGCGAGCTTAGTGCAATTTCCACTGGTAGGAGTGCATCCATCCCATATACCATACTGAATGGTGATTGGCTTGTCGAGCTTCTCGGCGTCGTCCTGTATGCCCATAGAACAGTGGTTAACTCGTCGATCCCGGCTCCTGAAGCTTTCTTCAATCATTTCTTTAGCCCTTGCAAGATAGTCCTATTCGTCACCTCGACTTGCCCATTAGCCTGGGGGTAAGCGACCGAAGAAAATCTCTATTTGATTCTCATATCGAGGCACCATGCTTGGATTCGCTTCCCCTAGAATTGTGTTCCATTATCATAGATCAAGACCTTCGGAATTCCGAATCGACAGAAGATGTTGTTGGACATAAATTGTATCATCTTCTCCTCGGTGATTTTTGCTAAGGGCTCTGTCTCCACCCATTTGCTAAAATAGTCGACTACAACCACGAGAAACTTTCTCTGACCCGTTCCCATTGGCAACGGGCCTACCTAGTTGATCCCCCACTGGGCAAAGGGGATCGGGCAGCTGATAGTCGTCATTGTCTCGACTGGGATATGAGTGATTTGTCCATGCCTCTCGCATCTCTCGCATTTTTGTACAAGTGTTTCTGCCATCCTTTGTAGTTTTGGCCAATAATAACTGGCTCGCAGGACTTTCCCAGCCAAGGTCCGAGATCCGGCATGAGCTCCACAACATTCTTCGTGAACTTCTCGCAAGACTTAACTTCCCTCGTCTTCTGAAACGCATCTCAAATGGGGCCCAACATGCGACTTCTTGTACAACACCCCCTCGACTTCGAAATATTTACTCAGATAACGAGCGGCTTTCTCGGCTCCCTGCTTGCCTCCTGTAGGCACTCGCCCCTGCAAGAGTTCGTGAATCGACTTTCTCCAATCGTCCTTCTCCTCGACTTCCATTGTTTCACCCAGGACACTTCCTTCTAAATGCATAGTAGTAATGGGATTTCCCATCTTCCCTTCATTGTAACTTGTTATTCTTGCGAGCCAGTCGGCTTGCTTGTTTTCCTCTCGAGGGACTTGGGTCAGCTCGAATTTCACCAAGCCTTGCACCAGGCTTTTAATTTTCTCGACGTACTTCAGCATTCGATCCTCCTTAATCTCGCAATTTCCCACTACTTGTCCAACCACAAGTTGTGAGTCGGAATGTGTCGTGATATCCGTTGCTCCGCCATCGATCGCAAGCTGAATCCCTTTAATCAGCGCCTCATACTCTGCTTTGTTGTTCGAGGCTTTGAACCCCAGTCTGATGGCGAAGTCGAGTTGCTCGCCTTCGGGATATACTAAGACAACTCTTAAGCCAGACCCTTTGGTCGCCGAGGATCCATCGACATGCATCATCCATTTCTTTTCTTCCCCTTAAGTTCCTTCTTGGATAAAATTCTCCAAAGCTTGGGCTTTTATGGCTCGCCTTGGTTTGTATTTAATAGAGTATTCACTCAGCTCGACTGCCCACTTCACGAGTCCACCCGAAACAGTAGGTCGACCCAAGGTTTCTCCGAGCTGGAAGTTTGTCCTCACCACTATTACCTGATTCAGGAAATGCGGCCTCAACTTCCAAGCTGTTATTACCAACGTCAAGGCGGCTTTCTCGACTTCGGAGTATCTCGTCTCCGCACCCTGGAGTACTCGACTTATGTAATAAATTGGCTGCAGGGCACCTCCTACTTCTTGCAACAATACCGAACTTAAAGAAAGTATTTCCATCGATATGTAGAGTACTAACTCGTCACCAGGTTCTGGTTTTGTTAATAGCGGCAACTCGCTTAAAAATTCTTTCAATTTTTCGAATGCCATTTGAGCCTCGTCATTCCATTGGAAAGTTTTCTTCTTGAGCAACTTGAAGAATGGGAAACTTCTCTCCGCCGCTCGAGCGAAGAATCTTTTTAGACCGGCAATTTGACCTGTCAGGACTTGCACTTCCCTGATACTTCTTGGTGGGACCATGTCGAGTATGGCCTTCACCTTGTCCTTGTTCACTTCAATGCCCCTTTCAGTCACGACATAGCCAAGGAATCATCCTGTCTTCACTCCGAAGGTGCATTTACTCGGGTTCAGCTTCATCCCAAATGCCCTTAGTGTCTCGAATGTTTCCCTTAGGTCCTCGACATGCGAGATTGAGGACCTACTTTTCACCAGGATGTCATCCACATATACCTCAATATTACGCCCGATCTGCGACTTAAACATTCGATCCATCGGTCTCTAGTACATCACCCCCACATTTTTTAGCCCAAAGGGCATGACGACATAACAATATGTCCCTTTTCTTGTTACGAAGCTAACTTTGCTTAGATCCTCGAGAGCCAGCGGAATTTGATGATACCCTTGGGATGCGTCCATCATACTCAGCAGTTCGCAACCAGCCATGGAGTCAACTAGCTGATCAATTCTTGGCAAAGGATAATAATCTTTCAGGCCTGCTATGTTCAAGTCACGAAAGTCGATGCACATCCGCCATTTATTCAAAGCTTTTCTCACCATCACTGTGTTGGATATCCATTCGGGGAATTGGATTTCTTTGATGTGCTTGGCCTTTAGCAACTTGTCCACCTCGACCTTGATATCTTTATCGATCTCAGCTCCACGATGTCGTTGTTGGGTTCTGTTAGGAACGTGAAACAACATGCACAGTATTGAACTTTATCGAAATAAATTTTAACGCAGCGGAAT